GATTTTCAAAACACATGCATTACATCACCGTATGGTATTGAATTCTCACAAAAACTATCAAAGAAAATACTTTGAACATCTCACATTCATGAAAACATGTTTCCAAGTGAATCAAACTTTTGTAAGTAATTGAAATCCATTTGAATCAAGAAACAATGTTTTTAGTCAAATTTCCATCTTATAACAGGGTTGGGAATAGATTCCCTCGAAATAGACTCTCTCATTTTGGAAAGGTTGAGAATCAATTCCCTAAGCCTGAGAATTGATTCACCCTGAACCAGAAAAAAAAAATGACGACTATATTTTCCACTTAACGTATTTATACTCATGAACTATGAAGCACCGACACTTCAAAATTCCTGACGTGTCGTGTTCGACACTTCTCGACACTCCAATACTCTTTGCAAAGACTCAAAATGTTACACCCTCCCTTGTATGCATCCAAGAGAGTTGTTTGCTAAGGGATTAGAGTGCTTTCGTCATATTTAAAATGCTGAAAAATAATCTTGATGTTGCTAATTAAAACTTATAATTGAAATCGGGTTAATTACAAAAAATCAGAGTATACTTTTAAAATTTCTTAACTTGCTGAAAATATTATTTTCCTGGCAGATGTTGCTGTCTTGAAAATTTCGTATAAAATCAAGTTCAAGGATCCACAAAAATATTCTTTGTAATATAGAAAGAGCACGTCTGGGGCTTCGCGTGCATATAAAATAATAACAAATCGGAGTTCTTTTGCCTCTCTTAACATAACTCGTAAAGTGCTCGCAAAACTGTTTATAAATCAGCACTTAGCAAAACATTCAGAAATTATTTTCGCAAAACGTTTTCAGAATTTTTTCCAAAGTACTAGATAATCATTAAAGTCTCACAACAGCAATGAAATCATAGTTCCAACAGTAGTCTAAGGTTCTCAACATAACAACAGTACAGTCATCCAACGTCATCCAATAGACAAAATAACAGCAAGTCCTAACAACAACAATTAACAGTAAATATCCAAATAATCCATGTCCTCATATGCTCTTTCGTCCTCCTGCAACTTTATAAAAATTGCATCCCCAAAGGGGTGAGAAAAATCTCAGTAGTGTGATAGCAAAACCAATAATGCAACAGTATTATATTAGTTACAAAATTATAAAACAATCGCATCAACATTTCATTTTCCTGATAAATCTTAACATTTCATAGTGCGTATGTAACGCCATCATAAAGTACGTCATAGCACCGTCGTGCACGTACAACATACATAGTGGATATTCCATAATGGCTCCCTCAAAGGTGAATTTCAACTGTGGCCTATGCGGACGGAAGCCAAGTGTCCCATACCCTGGTACCGAAGGGATGCCTATATGATGCATGCTCAAAAAAATGCATATTTATATAGATATTATTATTAGCCAATGCAACATGAAATTTATGCACGTATGCCATGCTATGCTTTCACACGCCGACAAAAAAACAGATGCGGTATGATGTAATTGTGCATGACTAAATCATCAGTATCATAACATATTCTTCAAGCTGCCATATAACAGTTTTACCTCATAACAAAATTGCCATCAAGAGATAGGCAGAATGCTTTCATCATAAATGGCAGGATAATCATTAGGCACATGTGAGCAATATTTCACAACTTCATACACTAGTCAATAGTCACATTAGGTAATACCACTTAACACTTACCTCGCTTGTCACACAATGGTTACCAAACAGCAGCGTATCAGCCCAAAGTCTTAAGAATGTTGCGCACCTAATATACAAGTGCAACAAATCAGAATACGTCCCAAGCTATTCCTATAAATTACCAACAAGTTTCCAAGCTTAATGGCTCATGTACCCATTCGGCCATCAAGGTTCTTTCCCCAAAAATATACTGACTTCGAATTAATCGTTACCAACGTTTAACAGCGAGGATTCCTTAAAGTTCCCAACCAAAACAGAATCGGTTTTAGCATAAAAAAAACTCATGACATTATTCAAAATTTTGACTCCACAAGACCAAGGGTGCGTCAAGGAAAACCTATGTTATGCTATACGTTTAATTTACAAAGGACTTAGCGCATAGCAAAGTTTACCAAGACAGAAAGGGATTTATCTAAACAAAACATTAAAAATGATTTAGTCCAAAACTCCACTAATCCAGGTATGGTGCGCTACATGAGGGTCAAGGCATGCTGCCCTAATTATATTGTTTCATAGAAATTTTAGAAGTACACCAAGTCATCACCAAACAGCCCCACCATTTATTTTAAGATAATTTCCAAATTCACTAGGTATGCTTTTAAGCTATGACCCAAAGGATGTAACATGACAGAATCTAAAAGAGTTAAAAATAAATAAAAGAGTTACTTCCTAGTAGGCATGCTTCACGGTTTGAACAGAGGAAAGAAGGAGGGGTTTCGTGCCTACCTCTTACAAGCACGCAAGGAAACCGAACTGCATAAAGAGTGGCACCTTGGCTTCCCACGCTCTAATACAACAGCAAAGTTCAGCCCTTCAAAACAATGACCGTGCGCACTCGAGGGAAGGAAAATAGTGCTAGTGTTCAGACCTACATACAAGAGGACACTTCCATCAATCTATCGAGGTAGGAGAAAGAAAGGAAGAGGAGACTATACTCTACCTCCTAGGATGTAGTTTCGGCTGAGAAAAGATAAAAGGGATGAAGGTTTGATGTTAGTGATGGTTCTTTAGGAGTCCACGGTTTTAAGGTGAAGGAGGAGGGTAGAATAAGGTTTGTGATTTTTTTCTTTGTATCCTCTTAATGTTGTGTACGCTCACGGTGAATTGGTGGAATGTAGATGCAATGTTTTTTTTTTTCTTTCTTCTTGGTGGTCCAACACTCACGGCTAAGGAAGGAAATAGGGGAGAAGAATTTGCTAATTTTTCAGCTTGTTGCCTCACTGATCAGCGCATCAAATAAGGAAGAAGGAAGGAATAAGGCACCTTGTATTTCTCTCTCTCTTAGGCGCACAAGAAGAAGCAATTGGTTGCAGAATTTCTGCCCAGTTAAGATACATGCAATCTGACTTCCCCAAACCCTATTGGTTGCATGCCTTAAAGCTGAATATGTTTTAAAATAAAGCTGAATAGGTTGAAAGGTGCTGCAAGCCATCAGCTCCCTTTTTACACTCTCCATGCGCATGTGATAAGGGAAACAAGAAGGAAGGCTGACACCCAATGGGTGCAGCTCAGTTGGTAATTTGGCGCTGAGTTAGTGGGGTTGGATATGTGTTCGATTCTCGCTGAATGCATTCTTGGGGAGGGGGCTGAACCTTTAGCCATCATTTCCCCGCACTCCGGATTAGTCCCATAGCCGACTCAAAGAGTCGAAGCTCGTGGGGATACCGGAGGAAACCAACTCGTCTCAAAGAGATAATTAGGGTTGGGTAACTCCAAAAAAAAAAGAAAAAGGAAAGCTGACTTATTTTATATTTTATGCAAGCACAGATCAAAATTATTGCCAAGCCCTATGCGCACAATGGAGGGGAAAATAAAGATAGATTTTGCCATGTGAAGATCACTAACTAATTAGAGGCTGACTTGTTGGATCACTTATGATGAGATTAGGGTAAGTTGCAAGGGAATTTGAGCTGACTCATGGATACTTCTCAAAGCCCTAAGGCTTCGGCCAACAAGAAGTTGGGGACCAAAAATGTACAAGCCCATAAGTGATACCAACTTAGACACTAACCCATAAAATTATAAATTCCCAAGTCTTATTAGTATTTTTAATTTTTCTATAAGTTGCTATTAATTAATTCCTACATCTTTTTCTAAGGCTTCACATGCCTAACATAAATTCTCACCTAACATTAGAATTCAAGAAAATTCCTAACTCAATATTAATTCCATACTAGTAACCATATAATTCGAAAACCAAACAAATATTACATGTATTCAATTTTCACACAGGCATTTCTTATGTCTTGTAGTATTTTATGTATTTTCCCTAATTACATGGGATGTTACACAAAAAAAGTTCAAAGATTACGTTGCGTTGCATTTTGAGTTCCAACTATAAGATTCGTTGTATTACGGTTACTATTTTATTGAGTTTAATATAAACATTTGGAATATCTTATGTTTCTTTGCAAATTTGATGGATATTATAAGTTTAGCTTTATTTTTTTGTTAAATTATTGAATATTAAATATAATATAAACTAAATAAATTAAAAATATTATATAATATCAAAACATGTCCTAACGTGTTGAATTTAATATTTTTAGAATTAACATGTCGGAGTGTCGTGTCGCGTCCCGTGTCGGTGCAACATAGCTCATGAATTATGAATTTCAACATATCCAATCATTGTTTCATTAATCAAAAATTCATTATTGATGATTCTCCTTGAATCAAACACATTTATTTCTCATTCCTACCCTCCTTGATTATTATGATACTGTCAACATCTCTAAGCCATCAATTTGTATTATATGTACTTTGAATGTACATAGCCATTGTTAAACACTATCTCATTGTTTTCTTGAGTTCAAAGAATTGTGAGACCCATCATATTTAAGAGATGACCAAATACCTAAATAAATTTGGAATGAAATGTAAAGTGCCCTAGTATCCGTAAACTTGTTTGATTATAGAGATTTGTCAAGCACCCGTGAAGCTTGACCGATAAAAAGACTTGATCAAGCGGCTTCAATTTGACATAAGTCAGAGTAGTGATAAACAAACCAGAATATGTCTAGTTTGCATTTTGTTTAACTCTGAAGTCCTTACTTTAGCTTTGAATGGCTATATCTCAATGTGTTTGTTTGTTCATTAGTTTATATATTGTTCACACTTTTGTATCTTCACATAAAATTAATTGTGCTAAATCAATAGATTGAAGAAACAATTTTTTAAAATATCAAAGGAGATATTTCGCGTATTTTTTTAATAAAACTCAATTCAAAACACACACACCCTCTCCTAAGTTTTGAAATCACTTAAAATAACACAGAGTACTGGCACAATTCAATGCTAAAAAATGGAGAAATATACATTAATATCAACATCACCTTTATTCCAAAGGATCGGCTAAAACATTATATAAGCCCTTGGATTAAATTTAAAATATTTAATAAATACAAAATCTAATTTCGACCTTTGAAAGTGTGACTCCAAAGTATATTAGAATTTCTCGTAAAATTGGCCTAAGAAATCATCACAGTTCCTTGGAGTCTTTGATTCCTACATAGTATTATTTATTAAGACCATGCAAATCCTTCCAAATCTCATTTCCCATCACTATAGAATGAGGTTAGTGAACTCCTCCTATACACATACACATGTTCACCGAAGAGTTGTAGTTTCAAAATCTGTCGAACTTCTAAACTCTATGTACAAAAATCAACCTGCAGGCAAGATAAGCAACAATTATTATTATGTGAATGACCAAAGCAATTTCATATTTTGTCCCTATGTGTGCGTAATGAGACCATAGCAGAGGCCTGAAGCAGCTCTTTTTTTATTTTTGTTATTTATTTATTCTTGTTATTTATTTATTCATTCTTGCCTTATAGCAGCTGGCTTTATTATTTATGTCAGTTTCAATAATAAATTGATTCCACAATCAGATGACAAAAGAAAAGAAGATAACTCAAAAGTCATTGATAACTATATATTGATCATCCGTATTCACTTTCTAAGTCATTATAAATCAAGCCTAATGACATGGTATACAACCTATTACTTTAGGAATTAATGTTTCTCACGTTGCAGGAGATAATTTTATCTCCTACACAAATAAAAATGTGTGAAGTCCGTATTTTTCTTTTTCTCTATTCTCTTCACATGACCCCACATAGGACCCACGCACTTTTATATGTGTAGGAGATCAAATTATCTCCTATAACATAAGAAACATTAATCCCATTATTTTATCGTCCACAATAATATTAGTGTAAGCAAAGCATCACCGGGGAATTATGGAAGGACTCTCTCTCTGTGTCTGCGAAGAGGATTTTTTTTTTTTTTTTTTGGGGGGGGGGGGGGGGGGGGGGTGTGTTGGTTTGTTACCTTGTTCTCCTCTTTCGAGAAAGTTTTCATCGGCAGTAGCCAGGTAGGGACACCTTGGATAGCTCTCCATTATATCTAACAAAAAAAAAAAACTATTACAAGAATATACTTCCATAATTTCATGCACAAAATTAGAAACTAGGCTTTAACAATCAACATGAAGCATAACTTGACCGGCATTTACTCATTGCCATCAGGAAAGAAACTCACTAATGAGAGCAGAAGCAAGCAAGCATACAGATGCAATGATGAGGAGAGAGGACATACCAGAACTAAGAGAAAAATCAGCAGTCAGATCTGAAAGGCTGAGATTTCCAGAAATCTGCCCCAAAACTCCAAATGAAGAAATGTCGGGGTCCAGGAGTGCCCCATTCATAGGATGAGAGTTTGAGTCTACACCATTGCACGATGCAACCGATGCATCACCAATAGTTGGGCATGCCTCCAGGACAGTGCCATCAGAGCCAAAAATGTAAGGAGAACTGCCTGGATATCCAGGTTCTGATTTGATCATTCCCCCATTAATTCCTTGTATCATCAAACCCATGCTTGAGCTTTGAGTTGAAAGCATTGGAGGGCTGTCAATCCTATTGCTATGAGCAGACATCTCAACCACAGCATTCATACTAGAGCGGAGTGATGACCAACCATTATTAAACACATTATGTAGATTGGAATCAACAGTATGTTGCATATTTTCTGGCTTCATAGCTGCTCTGGCAAGCTCAGCAGCATAGCACGATCGATTCTGGGCTACTGTTACATAAAGTGATGAGTGTAGCAAAATTACAAAAATAATTCAATTCAGTCAAACATATAATAACAGCCAGGGCTCTAATCAAAATCCACCTATTATGCTAGCTTATAAAGAGAAAAAGCGAAAAAGAAGTCCACACATTTACTTTCTAAACAATTGCAGCAAAGGGTACGTAAAGGGAAATGATAGAAACTCAATTACGAAGGCCCATAAACATGCTGATTGAAAGAAACCCAATTACGAAGGCCCATGCTGAGTCAGCAAAGAATATTCCATAGTTTGTTATGGGGATCCATAGTTTGTTACGGGGAAATCAGTTGTGGGAAGGGTGTGAATCATCGCAGGGGCCGAAGTAGTTAAATAGGGGAATTAAGGGGCAAGCTGGAATCTTGGATATTGCTTGGACTTGGGACTTGGGAGAGAGTAGAGACTCTCTAATTGCTCTACACTATCTTTCTTTTTACTGTAATTTTCCCTTTTCTGCATTAAAGTTTCACAAGTAATTGTAGGCTCTTTCATCACTGTAACTTTGTTTCTTTCAAGCCTGAACCATATCTTGTAATTTTATGTCATTGAAATACAAGATTCTAACATTTATTTCCCAATTTCTGTTTTATTGTGAGTTGATTTGTTTGGACTTAATTGAAAGAAATATTTGTGTATTATAAAACTGTGTTATCTGTACAAGAGTTCTCTGTTTAAAGAGAATAAAAAAATCTAATGGGCTAAGCCCAAATACTAACTATTACAAAATAATAAAATAATTCTATTATTTACAATACTCCCCCTCAAGCTGAGAAATGGATATTTATCATTCTCAGCTTGTTAGTAAGCTCTTGAAACCTATCATTAGGTAGTCAAGACATCAGCCAACTGACAACTAGACGGAATATATGGAGTAGTGATTAATCCGCTATCTAGTTTCTCCTTGATGAAGTGGCGATCAATCTCAATATGTTTGGTGCGGTCATGTTAGACTGGATTGCGAGCTATACAGATAGTTGACTTGTTATCACAAAGTAACTCCATAGACCCTTTACATCTCACATTTAGATCATCTAGAATGATTTTCAGCCATAATAACTCACAGATACCTTGAGCCATGGCTCGAAATTCTGCTTCTGCACTCGACCTAGCAACCAAATTTTGCTTTTTACTTCTCCATGTTATGAGATTTCCACAGAGAAACATACAATAGCCTGAGGTAGACCGTCGGTCAGTCACGGATCCAGCATAATCTGCGTCTGTATACACTTCTAAGGATAAGTTTCCTCCTCTCTGGAATAATAGTCCTCTGCCAGGTGTGCCTTTTAGATATTGAAGAATCCTATCCACAGCCTGCAAATGTTTTTCCCTCGGATCATGCATGATATGACTAACAATACTAACTGCATAAGCTAGATCAGGTCTAGTGTGAGCCAGGTATATCAATCTCCCCACTATACGTTGGTACTGTCCTTTGTCAACCGGAGGACTCTCATTCTCACTCCCTAGTTTGTGATTATGCTCAATTGGAGTACTGGAAGGTTTACACTCAAGTTTACCTGCTTCCTTAAGGAGATCAAGAACATACTTCCGTTGACAAATAAAGATCCCTTGCTGTGAATGAGCAACTTCTATCCCAAGAAAATATCTCAATTTTCCAAGGTCTTCAACTTCAAATTCAGCAGTCAATCTTTCTTGTAGAGCATGCTTCTCATCTATATCATCCCCTGTTATAATAATGTCATCAACATAAACAAGAAGGATAGTGAGCTTACCTTCTTGAGACTGTTTAAAGAAAAGTGTATGATCTCCTGGACTTTGTCTGTACCCCAATGAAAGCATAACCTTCGTAAATCTTCCAAACCAAGCACACGAGGATTGCTTCAAGCCATACAATGCCTTCTTTAACCTGCAAACTTTGTTTTCTCCATTTGTGGAGTTAAATCCTGGTGGAATCTCCATGTAAACCTCTTCTTCTAATTCGCCATTGAGGAAGGCATTTTTCACATCAAATTGTCTCAAATCCCAATTAGAATGAGCAGCAAGGGACAATAGAACTTTTACAGTGTTCATTTTGGCCATTGGAGCAAATGATTCTTCGTAATCAATGACATAGGTTTGTGTGTATCCCTTGGCAACCAGTCGAGCTTTATACCTTTCAAGAGTCCCATCAGAATTATATTTCAGAGTATACACCCATCTGCATCCTACTGCCTTTTTTCCATTTGGCATGTCAACGACTTCCCATGTATTATTCTTCTCCAATGCATTCATCTCATCATTCATGGCTTGAACCCAATTTTCATCCTTTAATGCTTCATGTACTGATTTCGGGATTGAAATGGAGTCAAGTGCTGTAATAAAGCTTCTATGTTGCATACAGAGATTCTTAGAGGAGACAAAATGAGAAATAGGGTGTTGGGTACAAGACCTTTTCCCTTTTCTTACAGCAATGGATAAGTCAACAGAATTAATATCAGGCTCAGGAACAAAAGAAGTAGTGTTTTCAGTACTTACCAGCGGTTCAGGCGACTGCAGTTGCTGGTGGGGCAGTGTGGGTTGTTTCTTCCTATGGTAAAATAGTTCAGGTGTCCCAGCTTTGCGTACTTTCTGTCGATCAATTGGAGGCATGTCACAAGAGGAATCAGATGAATTTTCAGCCGTATCAACTAAGTCTTCCTTCTCATTGTCATATGGTGTAACCATTGGGGTAAGAGATGATGGAGGTAATGGAAGGGGAGACTCAGACTCAAAGAAAATGGAAGGAGCTTCAATATTGTTCTCCCCCTGAAGCTGAGGAGGTAGAAAGTATGACTCAGATTCATGGAAGCTAACATCCATAGACACAAAGAATTTACGACTCGGAGGATGATAACACTTGTATCCTTTCTTGTTGGGAGCATAACCAAGGAAGACATACTTAAGGGCTCTAGGCTCTAATTTACTCCGATGCTGTTTATGAACATGGACAAAGACAATGCATCCAAAGACACGAGACTGGAGACTCTGCATAATTGGAACAGAAGGAAAAAAAGAGGTCATGAGATCAATCGGACTTACATGGCCAAGGATTCTGGAAGGTAAGCGGTTGATCAAATAGGTTGCAGTTAATACAGCTTCTCCCCAATAAGAGTTGGGCACAGATGCCTGAAACAATAATGCCTCTGGTGACTTCAAGCAAATGTCTATTTTTCCGTTCAGCAACCCCATTTTGTTGAGGGGTATCCACACATGTGAGTTCATGAACCATTCCTTTGTCTTTAATAAACTGAGAAAGATGTTGATTAACATATTCGGTACCATTATCTAATCCCAAGCGTTTGATACGTTTACCAAACTGAGTTTCAATCATATAATAAAACTGGATAAACAACTGTGTTACTTCTGCCTTATCTTTCATCAAGAAGATCCATGTAGTCCGAGTATAATCATCAATAAAAGAACAAACCACTTAGCACCAGAAACATTAGGTACCTTAGAAGGTCCCCAAACATCAGTATGAATAATGGTTGTTGAGATATATAGTCTCACATTGGTTGTATGTGCAACTAATGTGGAGTTTATAAGACCTTGGGCACTCCCACCCTTTGAGCTAGTTTTTGGGGTGGTGTATACCAAGGTTCTTTACATGGTATCAGAGCCTCGCTGCCCCCCACTTTCTCTTGTGGCGTTTCTTAGCATAGGTAGGCTGGGCCTGTTGCATTTTCCACTCTTCAAGCCCAATGGGCTCTCGTGTGAGGGGACGTGTTGAGATATATAGTCCCACATTGGTTGTATCTGCAACTAATGTGGAGTTTATAAGGCCTTGGGCACTCCCACCCTATGAGCTATCTTTTGGGGTGGTGTATCCCAAGGTTCTTTACAATGGTAAAAGGTTCAACACTTTTTATTTCAATAGAAGGAAACGATACATGATGATGTTTTGCAAATTGACAGACATCACAATTAAAAGATTCAACTGACTGCGACACAAACAAGGACGGAAACATAGACTTAAATAAACTAAAAGAAGGATGACCCAAGCGCTTGTGATGAAGCCAAATAAGAGAATCTGAAAGAGGCTGACGAGTCATGAAAGTCTGATCCCTGGTACCTTCTGCAGCAAAATCTGGAACCAGATAATACAACCCATCCTGCTCCTTAGCAACTCCAATCGTCTTCCCCGTGGCGAGATCCTAAAAATCACAATGAGTAGGAAAAAATGTTACAGTGCAATTCAAATCTGTAGTAAGCTTATGAATAGAAAGGAGATTAGTAGATAGGCGAGGAACATGGAGAGCATTCTTGAGACACAAGGAGGGTTGGATTTTAATATTGCCAGAACCTGCAACTGATGTGTGTGATCCATCAGCTACGGCTATAGTACGGGGACCAAAAGTAGGATTATAAGAAAAAGATCATTGCAGCAAGTCATATGATTAGTAGCACCAGAATCCACAATCCATGAAGATTTGAAATCAATACAAGAAGCAATAAAAGAATGAGTGCATGAGTTCTTACCAGTCATGGCCAAAGTGTGGAACCAATGCCTTTACGAAAAGAATATAAAGGTTCAACGATTTCGATGATAACAAACAAGCATGGAAAGAAAGCTTCAAGGTGCAACCATCAAAAAGAAGTTTAAACAAGATCAAGACTCAAGCTTCAAGAGAAGTCTCTAAGTCCAAACTCAGAGTAATATACTGTAGGACTTAGGATTATTTGTAAATTGATTCCTTACAAGAACGAAACTCAAATTATTTTTCAAATACATGCATAAAATCATCGTTTGACATTCAAATATATTCTTAACATGAAAACATAGTTTTCAATGTTCATAAAATGTTTAAACAATATTTGAAAATAATGTGAATCAAGAGAAAACCATTTTAGGGCGAAAACCAACCTTTCAACAGGTTGGTAATCGATTACCCAACAATGGTAATCGATTACCCTTCATGGTAATCGATTACCCACTCACTGGTAATCGATTACCTACTGTACAGAAGACAAAATAACGGCTATAAAACAGCTA